AAGAGACCCCGAAGACGCCCAAGAGCGCCCCAAGAGGGCCCGAAATGGTTTGAAGATGGCCGAAAAGGGCCCCGAGAGGGCCTTCATGAAGCAAAAATCGGCTCATTCCCATCGTAAAGCGTACATTTTCAGCATATTCGCTGGCTTCGTCTTCGCAGTGCCCCAGACGTCCCCGAGGAGCCCCAAGACAGCCCAAGAGAGACCTAAGAGGGCCCCAGACGGCCCAAAAAGATCGTCCCGCGGGGCTGACGGAACCCCCCAAGACGGCCCAAGAGGCCCCGAAGCCCGCCCAGGAGGCCCCCAAGACGGCCTCAGGGAGGCCCAAGAGGGCCTCGTTCGAAACCATGTCCCCGGAAGCCTCTCCGGGAACATGATTTCTGGGTTCCCAGGACGCCCAAGAGGCCCACAAGACAGCCTCAGCAAGGCCCAGGAGGGCCCGAGATGGCTGCAAGATGGCCGATGAGGGCCCCGAGAGGGCCTTCACGAGGCAAAAATCAGCCCGCTCCTGTAGTAAAAAATACATTTTCAGCATACTCCCTTGCTTCGTCTTCGCAGTGCCCCAGACGCCCCCGAGGAGCCCCAAGACAGCCAGGGAGAGACCCAAGAGGGCTCAAGACGGCCCAAAGGGGTCGTCCTGTGGGGCTGACGGAACCCCCCAAGACGGCCCAAGAGGCCCCAAAGCCAGCCCGGGAGGCCCCCAAGACGGCCTCAGGGAGGCCCAAGAGAGCCTCGTTCGAAATCATGTTCCCGGAAGCCTCTCCGGGAACAGGATTTCCAGGTTCCCAGGACGCCCAAAGTCAGCCCCCAGAGGCACCAGACACGCCGAAGATGGCCTCAGGACGGCCGACGACGCCGCCAAAACGCCCCAAGAGCGCCTCCAGAGGTTCCGTAGCCATTTTGGCTCAAGCAGGGGCCTCGAAGCTTGCAGCGGGTGGCCGCCAGCCTGCCAGAAGGCACCCCGCCAATCATGCTCAGCCCGCGCGCGAGGTCTCAAGACATGGAGGGGCCTCTCGCCGCACAGGGGAAGGGCAAGGTGGAGTGCCTCGGACCGCACGTGCCCAGCTCGGCCCCCACGCGCTGCCCCACGCTCGACGACTTGCTCACGCTCGACGACGACCAGGACGGCGATGCGCACCAGGAGGACTGGGGCGTCGCTGCGCTTTCGAGGGGCGGCGACGAGCCGGCGCTCCTCAAGACGGCGCTCTTCGAGACCGTGCCCGTCAGGGACGAGCGCCCCGGGAGGGGGTCTGCGATGCCAGCGCCCCCGCCGAGGCGCCTCCAGTCCGAGGCGTACTGGGAGCTGAAGGCTGCCGCCGCGCGGCGGTTGGCGTGCTCGCCTTGGGAGGTGGGCGTGCGGCCGCGTTGTCCGCGCGTCGACGAAGGCGGCTACCTCGGGCCCGCGGCGGCCGCGCCGGCGGCAGCGGAGGGCGCCGAAGGCGAGGGCCCGGCGGCGGCCGAGCCCCCAGCAGCAGGAGCCGCCCAGGGCGGAGGCGCCGAGGGCGGCCCCAGGAGCTGGGCGGGCGCCATCTCAAGGGAGTTGCGCCGCGGGGCGCTCGTGCCGGTTGTTGCGCCTCTGGCCTCGCCGCCGGCTGCGCCGCCGCGGTCGCCCTCCGCAGCAGTCGGTGCCGCCCTGAGGTCGCGTGGCCGGTCGTACCACACATCTAGGGGTTGCTAGGAGCCGCTAGTCAGTGTCAAGTTTTACGTCTTCCCGACTCCGGTTCCCATCCTTGTGGCGGCCCTCAACCCAGGTGCTGGGGCGTTCTGACTAAAATGCCCATATGAGGTTGCGGCACGTTCTGACTAAAATGGCCATGTGAGGTTGCGGTACGGGCCAAGGCCCGCCCTCTTCTTCATACAGCGTGCAAGCAGTCCCTGGCAGGATTGGGAGCACGTGCGCGGTGATGAGAAAAACAATTTGAGGTTGCCACTACAGGGTTAGCCTCCGCACAAGTGGGACTGGGGTTCCAAACGCCCGCCCAGATTCGCGTGGCTGGTCGTGCCACCTTGCTGTGATTTGCTAGGAGCCGCTGGTCACTGCAAGCAGTTGGGAGCGAACTTCCGGACTGCCGGTGCAACCGCCAGCGGCTCCGAGACCAAGCCGTGCCATTGCTCTTTTTCTTTCGCTCTTGGCCGCCTGCAGGCCACGTGGCGCCCCCCTCACCCGCGTGCTGGGACGCTCTGACTGGGAGGAGGAGGAGGAGGAGGTGGAGGAGAGGTGGTGGAGGAGGAGTGCCCGTTTTGAGGTTGCCGACGCTGCGGCAGCCTCCACGCAGCAGCGCTGGCGAGTGGGCCCTCGTGCCCGCCCAGCGTCCATGCCGCTCGGCGCCGAGCGCCGAGGCCCGGACCCGCTGCGCCCGCGACGGTGCCCCTTCACGGGGGCCTTTTGCCGCGCCCCATCCTCAAAGCCTCAAGGCCCCCGCCGTCTACTACTACTGAGAGGGACGACGTGGGGGAGGACGAGTTTTATTCTCAGCCGAGAGCTTCGGGGGACGGGGGTGAGCAGCATGAAAGACCCTCTGCGGTTACCTGTCTCCCCCGCCTTCCAATCGCCGGGGGCGTCCTCGCGACTTGGCACATTCCCAACGGCTGTCTTGCTGCAGACGCCGCTGTCCAAGAACATCGGCAGAGTCTATCGAGAAGGCCTAGTTCTGGTTTCAGGAGGAAAGTTGAAAACGCGACGCCTGGCAAACAGGCGGGGGCAGAGCCGCGGCGGTGCCCCGCCGCGATTCCAGTGCCGTCTCTCGGAGCAGAGGCTCTTCGGGGCCGCCCGGATGCCAAATTGGCCCGGTTGCAGCCACGAGTTTTGGCACGATGCAGGTTTTCGGAGTTTTCGGTGGCGGTCCTGCTGAGTTGTTCGCCATCCAGCTTAGGTCCATGCTGCAGGTTTCGAGCGAGTTGTTCCCAGTGCCTACGCACTCGGGTAGGCAGGCCAGGTGAGAGGCACGGGGCCCTCTAGGTCAGCCCGCTTTTTCGCAGCATGGTTGCGTATTTAGGAGCTGGACCTTGCAGCCGTTGCCTTCAGATCAGGTAGGATTCCCTGCCGCGGAGAGCTACGCTGCAGGATTGAGCCACACCGCCGTGCAACTGTATACAGTCCGCATCGCTAGACATACAAAAAAAACACCTTCAGAGGCCCCTCCAAATGGCTCCAGAAGCCGACAATCATACATTTTCCTATGGTTTTTGAAGCATTCTTGCTCTCTCCCATGTTCCGCCTCCCCACGGTCCCGGACCGCGTCAGAGGCCCTTCAGATCGCTCCAAGACGGCCGGAGAGGCTCCCAAGAAAGCCCAGAGACGGCCCAGGAGGCTCCCCAGATAAGTCAAGAGGCCCTCGAGAGCGCCCCAAGAGAGTCCCAAGAGCGACCCAAGAGGGCCCGAAGAGCGCGACATTTCGAGGTCTCCGGCCTGAGAGGCTCCCAGGACGCCCCCGGAGGCCATCAAGAGGTTCCCAAGAAGCCCCGTGAGGCTCCCAAGAGGCCACCCGGAAGCCCCAATAGGCCCCCAAGCGACCCCCAGGGAAGCCCCCTGCGGACCCCCAAGACACCTCGGTAAATCGTATTTCCCAGATAGCTTTCTGGGAACATGATTCCTTGGGCTTCCGCCCGCCGCCCCAACCATGTTTCCAATTGGCTTGCCGACAAGGCCAAAAGGCGCCCCTCGGTAAGCCCCCAGAGGCCCCCCTCTCAGAGAGCGGAACAAATCATGCTCCCAGAAAGTTTCCCGGTAACATGATTCTCTATCTCGGAGTAGGCCCGGGGGGGGGGCGGGCCGCTGCTCGTTCCCCCCATCGGTGCCCACCAGGGGTTGCGGGGGGGTCAGAGCTCCCGAGGCGGCCCGAGCCCGCCCCGAAGCAGGCCACGACAGGCTAAGGAGGTCCCGAGAGGACCCAAGACGGTCCCACGAGGCCACGAAGACGCCCAAGATGCCCGCAAGACAGCCGACGAGGACTCCAACACACTCCAGGACGGACTCAAGAGGCTCCCCAAGAGGGCCCTGGAAGGCAAGATTCAGTTCCGAGTGTTTTGGATTTTGGCGTTCTCGCTTTTCCCGCTTTCCAGCGCTCCCTTCATTGCCTCGGAGGCCTTTCAGATCGCTCCAAGAAGGCTCACGAGGCCCCGACGAGGGCCCCAAGACGGCCCAGGATGCTTCCAGGCAACCCAAGTGTGCCCCAAGAGCGCGCCAAGAGAAGGCCCAGAGGGGTAGGCGGCCCGGGCCCGCCCCGAAGCAGGCCACGACAGGCTAATGGAGGTCCCGAGAGGGCCCTAGACGGTCCCGAGAGGCCCCGAAGACGCCCAAGATGCCCTCAAGACGGCCGACGAGGACTCCAACACGCTCCAGGACGGACTCAAGAGGCTCCCCAAGAGGGCCCTGGGAGGCAAGATTCACTAATGTTCCAATGGTTTTTGAAGTATTTAGACGTTCTCGCTTTTCCCGCTTCCCAGCGCTCCCTCACGGCCTCGCCCGCGAGTCTCCGGAGGCTTCGAAGTACCATCATGCTACAGGAGAGCTGTCTTGGAAGTTGATTGGGAACATGACTGATCGCCTTCTCGCGGCCCTCCGCAGATCGTTTCGCACAAAGTTGCCCCAAGTGCCCTCTGGATCGACGACGACGACGACGAAACGACGAAGACGATGCCGACGACGACGACGACGACGACGACGACGACGACGACGACGACGACGACGACGACGACGACGACGACGACGACAGCGCGCCCCAATAGGCGACGACGACATTACGACGACGACGACGATGACGACGGCACGCCCCAACAAGCTCGCCAAGATGCCCCAAATTCATCCTCCCAGAAGGCCTTCTGGGAATCCGATTCATACGGCCTCCGCCCCCCTACACAACCATTTTCCTCGAAGGCCTTTCGGAATGCAGATAGGCGTGCGTGGACTGTGGTCCACTACTTCAGTGGAGCAGTGAATTCGTCAAGGCCTGGGGCCTGGTAGAACCTGAGCGCGCGCGAAGCGCGCGCGATGGTTCTAGTATATATATATAGAGAGAGTGAGTGAGTGAGTGAGTGAGTGAGTGAGAGAGAGAGAGAGAGAGAGAGAGAGAGAGAGAAGGAAAGAGGGGGAGGCGTAGGGATAGTTTCGCATCGGTTTTCTTATTCAAAGGAACACAGGAGGCACCAGGCTTCCTTTGCACCTGGAACCTGAGATTGATCGCGGAATCGATTGTGAGGTCGATTGTGCCATTTATAGTGAGTTGAATAGTGAGATCGACAGTGAGATTGATAGTGAGACGATAGTGAGACCGATAGCAACACCGATGGTGAGATCGATAGTGAGATCGATAGTGAGAACAATAGTGAGGCCGACAGTGAGATTGTAGTGATTTCGATGATGAGGTTGATAGTGAGATCGATAGTGAGGCCGACAGTGTGATCGATAGTGGTATCGATATTATGATCGATAGTGACATCGATCATGAGGTCGATTGAGTTAGACGTTGGTTCCCCCCCCTGAGCCTCCTGATCACCCGAAAGGTGGTTGCATAGGTATGTATGGAGGTGGGTTAGGGCCCAGACTGCTGGAGGAAGACCGGCGATCAAACGACTCTCCCCGCTCTCGCCCCCATCGCTTCGTCCTTCTCCTTCTCCTCCCACCCTTAGTTTCCCCCTTCTTGCCCGCCCCCCTTCTGCAGCTGCTCGTCCTTCTCCTGCTCCTCCTGCCACCTCTTCTTCCTCCTCCTTCTCCTCCTGCTCCCAGGGGTGCTCTCGCGAGGTTGGGACCCGTAGCGTTCTCCTCCTCCTGACTTCCGCTCCTCCTTCTCCCGCTGCTCTTCCCTCTTCCTCCCTCGCCCTGCTTCTGCTGCTTCTCCTCGTTGAAAGCCCCTTCTTCTGCCCCTTCCCCTCCCTCTCTTCTCCTCTTCCTACCTCTGCTCTCCCTCCCGCTTCCTCCCTCCTGCTTCCCTTCTCTTGCTGCTGCGCCTCCCAGGTACTCCCACGAGATCGGCACCTGCAACACTGGGGCGCCCTCGTCGCCGCCCTGGCCCGGTGTCGGCCGCGAGGACGCGCGGAGGAGCTTCGCTTGAGGAGGAGGAGGAGGAGGAGGAGGAGGAGGAGGGAGGGAGGGAGGGAGGGAGGGAGGGAGGGAGGGAGGGTGAGGGTGAGGGAGGGAGGCGTGAGGGTGAGGGTGATGGTGAGGTGCGGAGTGAGGGTGAGGGTGAGGTGAGGGTGAGGTGAGGGTTATGGTTGAGGGTCAAGGGTGAGTAGGAGGAGGAGGAGGAGGAGGAGGGGAGGAGGAGGAGGAGGAGGAGAGGAGGAGGTGAAGGAATAGGAGGAGGAGGAGGAGGAGGAGGAGGAGGTAGAGGATGAGGAGGAGCGAGTGAGGAGGAGGAGGAGGTGGGGGAGAGGTGGGGGAGGAGGAGGAGGAGGAGGAGGAGGGGAGGAGGGAGGAGGAGGAGAGGAGGAGGAGGAGGAGGAGGAGGAGGAGGGGTGGAGGAAAGTGGAGGAGGAGGAGGAGGAGAAATAGGAAGATGAGGATGAGGAAAAAGAGGAGGAGGAGGAGGAGGAGGACGAGGAGGAGGAGGAGGAGGAGGAGGAGGAGGAGGAGGAGGAGGAGGCCGTAGCCATTTTGGCTCAAGTCCGTAGCTTGGCCCAGGCGTCAGCAGCGGACGGAGACTTTCTGGCATTGGGGAGCGCCCAGAGGCGCACACGGCCCCAGCAGCTTTCCCCTGACATCACCAGACAGGGCACACTCGGTATCCTACCGCCTTGCTCGTCCTCTTTTGCCGCCACAGTGTGTTGATGACACCTTGGAAGGATGCGTCGCTTCAGTTTCTCTCCCCGCTCCAGGGGGCCGAGCCCTGGACATGTGGGCACTGTGGGACTGGAGGCAACTTCGCGACAAAGATGCAGTGCCGCCAGTGTCTCGCCCCTGCGCCGAGACACATCCAGGCGGCCATCATGCGTGCGTCCCGCTCCGCTCCGGTGCGGCGACCGTGGCAGACGACAAGCCCCTCAGCGGGGGGCAAGGCCAAGGGCAAGGGCAAGGAGAAGGGCGACAAGGGCAAGGATAAGGGCGTGGCTGGCCCCGCTCCTCGCGGCACTGCTGGCTCTGCTTGGGGCTACTTCGGGGCTGGCACAGACCTGCTCAAGTCGAAGTCAGCCGAGCAGCCCGACCCCATCGCGGGCGGTGCTCGACAAGTCGATCGGCATGCTGGAATCCCTCGCAGACCCCAGCCTCGTGTCCATCATCGAGGCCAAGCGGGCTGAGAGGGCGGCCCTTGTCGCTCAGAAGCGGGCAGGCAAGCCCCTGCACCTGCAGCTGCAGGCGCTGGAGGGCAAGATGGCAGCCGCGCAGCGCAAGCTCGCTCGCCAGCGGGATGAGGTCGTGCCCGAGCTCCAGCAGCGCCTGGCGGAGGCCCGGCGCATGCAGGAGGCGGCCAGCAAGGAGCTGGAACAGTTGCAGGAGGAGAAGGCTCAGCTGGCCAGGCGGGTGGTCGCCGAGGAGCAGGCCCCAGCTGGGGCAGCGGGCCCTCGCGGCGGCGGGCCACACTGCGGGCAGGCGGTCATCAGCCAGCTCGTGGCCAACCTGGAGAAGCTGGTGGGAGACACCGAGGGAGACGGAGATGCGGTGCCCAAGCCGCTCGTGGAGTCTCTCCAGAGTCTGCTCAAGCTGGTCAAGGAGCTCCCTCAGGCTGCGGGGGCCCCCACTGCTGCTGCCGCCGCGCCTCCTGGGGGACCTGAGGCAGCGGCGGCGGACGCCCCCCCAAGGGAGCCTGCTGCCCAGGCCGCGGCCGAAGGCGGCGGCGGATCCGTGGAGGAGCAGAAGCGCAAGAGGGACGAGCTGCTGGACCGCTACCTCAGTGGGCTGCCCGAGGAGGAGCGAGCCGCCAAGCGGGCAGTGCTGGGCTCCTTCTACGACCACCTTGGCGAGGAGGCGCCCCCCCAGACGCCTCTTTGATGGGCCCGCGGGCCCGCCCATGCTCGACTGGACCACCTTCGTGGACGGCCAGTTCTGGGCGAGCGGGGGCTTCCACAAGGAGGAGCGGCACGGGGGCGGCCTCACTTGGGGCGGCGGGGGCGCCTACGCTGGCCAGGGCATGGGCCACTGCGCCCCTGCGGCCATGGGCAGGCAGCCACCGCCCTTCGGACCCGCCGCCCCCCAGTCCGTCGGCCTCGAGGGCAGGCCGCAGCACAAGGGGGATGACCCAGCTGGGATGCCCCAGAGTCGCCGACGCGCTCGGCGAGGAGCACGACACGTCATCGCCGCCACCTTCAACGCCAACCTCTCCTGGGCTCGCGTCGAGGAGTTCTTGGAAGAGGAAATCGGCCAGCTCATCAAGGAGGGCGGCATCCCCATCCTAGCGGTGCAGGAGAACGCGAAGCCCGCCGAGTGGTTCCACGTCACGGCGGCGGCGCAAGAGCGACGGGGCTGGCGAGTCGTGGGGGCACCCGCCGTACGTACGGCAGAGGGCGGCAGCTCCGCGGGCGTGGCGTTGGCCACACCGCGATGCCTGAGCCTCAGCCTGGCGCCAGGACAGGATTCGTGGGACATCTTCCCCGCGGGCGCCGCAGGCAGGCTGTGCCTGGGCATGACCGGGGTCAAGGGCATTGGCTGGGTGGCCTTTTTCTCGGTGTACCTGTTCGCGGGCAAGCCTGTCACCTGGGCCTTGAACGCTGCCTTGCTGGATGCCATCGTGCACTGGGTCTGCCAGATGAGGATCCCCTGGGTGGCCATGGGTGACTTCAACAATGAGCCGCACGCCATTCTCAACAGCCCCTGGAACCAGGAGGCCAAGGGCCAGGTCTTGGCCTGGCAAGGGGAAGGTGGAACGTGCAGGTCCAAGGTGGTAAAGCAGGGTGCGGAGGAGTTCAAGGATCGGGTCATCGATTTCTTCTGGATGGACGCGAGGCTGGCCGTGATTTTCTGCCCTGTGAAGTCCTTCGAGAACATGGCCTACAGGCCGCGCAGGCCGACTTGGATCCGCGCCGACAAACCCTGGCACGCATACCAGATCCAGGTCCTCAAGGGCCCGAAGCAGTACCCAATCACGAGGCCACCTCCTGTCAGGCAGCCCGAGATCCCGCAGAGTTACCCCGTGCCCGACCTGCTACACGGCTCGCAGCGGCACCTGGACCAGTGCTGGTTGGATTTTTGCTCTGCTGCTGAGGCCGAGCTTCGATCGCTGTTCGGATGGACAGAGTCGGAGGCGCGCAGGTATGAGGGCCGAGGCTTGACTCCCGAGGTGGTGCATAGACAGCTTCTCCCGAAGCATGACAGCCCAGTGGCTGATCGAGGCCCAGCCAGGGCCTGGCGTTGGGCCGCGGGGGAACTGGCCTGGATAGGCCAACTCGTCTGCTGCGTCTTGCGGGGACAGTCGGCGCCCAAGGCCAAGTCGGAGGCCCTTGCGGGCCAGTTTTCCACCTCGGGAGGAGGGCCTCCTCGGACCTACAACGAGGAGGTCGCAGGCCAGCTCAGGCGAGCCTGGAGGGAGCTGTTCCAGGCGAGACACCACTGGGACCAGCTGGGGCTCTGGAGCGTGGGGATGCTGTCCACTCTGCGCGCTATCGCAGACGTGGAGCCCCACATCATCGGTGCCCAGGCCATCCTCGCGCTGCAGCAGCTCGCCAAGAAGCGGGCCCAGTCCTGGGAGCAGCACCTCATGCGGCAGCGCTCCAAGCGATTCTATGAGCGCCTGGGCGCGAAGTTCCCTGGCTCGGGGGGCTTTCTGCATCGCATCTGCCACTGGAAGCAGGCGTGGAAGGAGCCCATCTCGTCGGCCAAGAAGCTGAAGCTGCCTGCTGACCCGCAGCTCGCGGTCACTCAGGAGGCGCAGGAGTGGGCTAGCATTTGGCGCGCTGGGTCAGGTGACTACACCAAGTTGTGGCAGGTCACTCAGGTCCAGCCACAACGGATGGCCCACGCGCAGATGCTGCCTGCCATCGACGCGGTGCAGGTGCGCACCATATGCCGCAGCTACAAATGGAAGACTGGGCTTGGGCTGGACGGCTGGCATTTTGGACACCTGGCCTGGCTCAGCGACGAGGCCTTGAAGTGCCTCGGGGACATCCTCATGCTGTGCGAGCGGCTCTGCTCGTGGCCTACGTCCATACGCATGCTCATCCTTTTCCTGGTGGCCAAGGAGGACGGTGGCGGCAGGCCCATCTTCCTGTTTCCCACGCCTGTGCGCATCTGGGAGGCTGTTCGGGACCCCTCGGTTCGCCAGTGGGAGCGGACCCACGTGAGGCCATACGACTGGGCATCACCAGGGCGTAGCAGTGAGCATGCGGTCTGGAGAGCGATGTTGGATGACGAGGCCTTGGAAGGTACCTGTTTCGCATCTATCACCGCCTTGATGGATTTGGAGAAGGCCTATGAATATGTGGCGCTCAATTTGATTTGGATTCTCGGCATGGTGCAGCAAGCGCCCATGAGCGTGTTGGCCCTTTCCCTGGAGTCGTACGCCTTCCCTCGAGCGGTACGTGAGGGCCAGGCCGTCGCCGACCTCATCTGCACCCATGTTGGTTTGCCCGCTGGATCGAAGTGCGCCAATCGCTTCCTGAAGATGGTGCTGCATCCTATCCGGGATGTCGTGGCCCGCTGGCCAGGGACCAAGCTGGAGATCACGAAGTTTGTTGACGACTTGGCGCTGCGTATGGTGGGCAGGAGCGTACAGTTGAGGGCGATCTTTCCCGACCTGGCCCGCGCTCTCATCCACCTTCTGGAGTCGTTGCTTCAGCTAAAGGTCTCGAAGGGTGTGAGAGGCAAGTCTAAGTTCGTCTCCAGCGGCGGCTCTTTGGCACAGGAGCTGACACAGGCCATGGCCGACATCGGCCTACAGCACGGTGAGAGCGAGCGCTGGTTGGGAGTTGACTACCAACCTCAGGGCCCTCGGAAGAGGACCGCCAGATCCAGACGGGTCCAGACGGCCCGAGGCCGCTGGTGCAAGGCGGCGGCTCTCATGCGCAGAGGGGTGAGGGTGCGCCCTGTGGTGCAGCAAGGCCTCAAAGCGTCAGTGGCGTACGGGGCGACCTGTGCTGGCACCCCTCCCGCAGTCCTGAAGTTCGTCATGGCCAAGACAGCGGCCGTGCGCGCAGGGGCTGGGACCTTCCGCTCAGGCACCTTGGGCTGGGCGATTGCGCAAAGGACGGACGGCGCCGAGCAGCTCAGACTGGCCCCACTGCGGGCATGGATGCGCGAGGCCTGGGACCAGCCCGAGAGACGGAAGGAGATGGCGCACGCTTGGGGCCGCCAGTGGCCCAAGGTGCAGAGGGCTCTCGCCTATGGCCCAGCCAAGTTCGACGCCTGGAGGATGGTGCGTGGACCAGCTGCAGCTACCATTCTGACGGTGCACGAGCTGGGCTGGCACATGGAGGACGCCTGGACCATCCTCGACGGCGCCCACGACAAGTGGGACATTCGCGAAGTCGCCCCCCTCGAGGTCCTTCGTGCCGCAGAGAGGGCGATCGCGAAGAAGAAGCTCATGGACTGGGCGTTAGCGGATGAGATGCGCCAGCCGCTCCGACCCACCCCCTTCCTGCTGCCAGCCAAGCAGCTCATGCGCTCTAAGACCACGGAGACCTGGACGAGGCACCACATCAACAGTGCCAGGACGGTTGCGCTTGGGGGCTACCCCACGCAGACGGTGTGCTACGAGCGCGGCCAGGTCACCAGCCCTATGTGCCCATTGTGCGGCAAGAAAAAGGGCACCTCGATGCGCGTGTATTTTCTCTGTGATGCAGACGTTTGCGTCACGATACGGGATGGCCTCACCGAGCCGACCCTCAAGAACAGTTTTCGGGACGTGGTGTATTTGGGCGAGATGGCCGCCACGAAGGAGGAGCAGGGCTGCAGAGGCGGCGACACGCTCTTCTGGAAATGGGCTCGCGGCCTGGTCGCAGACCCCGTCGCCGAGTACCAGGTGCCCACGCCGCCCGACGAGTACCAGTGGGGAGATCCCGACGGCGAGATGGTGCTGTCGGGCTGGGTGGCCACGGACGGATGCGCCCTGTCCCCCGATGTGGAGGAGATATCCACGGGAGGCTTTGCCGCCACCACCTGGTGCGATGCAAAGAAGAGTGAGATCCAGTCTTTGTTCGGTGCAGTGCCTGTCGCGAGGCCCACATCGGCCCATTGTGAGATTTGGGCTGTGTATCAGGCTGTGAAGCACTCTGTCGGGCTCGTAGGGCTCCTTTTGGACAGCAAGCAGGTTGTTCAGGGGCTCTTGGCTGGCAAAGATTTGTGTGTGAACAGCGAGCAGATAACCGCGCACCTCTGGAAGCTTGTTTGGGATGCCCTGGAAGATGAGGGCCTCGTCCCAGGTGAGTCCCTTCAAGTTGTCAAGATTAAGTCTCACATGACCAAGGCCCAAAGGGCCTGTCTGTCGGGTGAGAGTCTCATGCAGTATGATATGAATAGGTGTGCGGATGCCCGTGCTAGAGAAGGAGCTGACCACTATGCCGCCCCGAAGTGGAAGGTGGACCAGGTCCAGCAGTGTCTTAAGTTTCAGAAAAGGCTGCTGCAGTATGCGGCGTCTTTCAGGGTAGATCTTAGTGAAGCCAAAGCTACCACCACGAGCCTCCCGTCGCCTGCTGGTCGGACTCGGAGGGGTGAACGTGTCGCCCGCCCCATGGCAGTCGCGCCCGTGCGGGCCCACCGTTTCAGGCTCCTCGAAGGTGGTAAGTGGCAGTGTTTGCAGTGCTCTCGCCTCGTCCGTGTGGCCGCTCGTCTCAGCTTGGCCAAGCGGGAGTTGTGCCCTGGATGGGGGGGAGCCATTTCTAAAGGTAGGGTCCGTTTGAAAGTCAAGGCCCTTGTCCACGGCGATTGTGTGACGGACCAGATCCGAGCTGCTGCGGCTGAGAGGGCCGCGGAAGCCAGGGGGTCTGGGTCCCAGGTCTCACCCCCACCCCCACCTCGGGAACACGAAGTGGTCGAAATGGTGGGGTATGCCGTGTGCCGAATGTGTGGGGCTTTCGCCCGCTCCCGAGCCCAGAAGCTGCTGCGGGAATGCGAGGGCCCGTTGACGAAGGGTATTGCCGCCCATCGGTGGCGGAGGCTCTATCGTGACCGTATCCTGGACGGTAAGAACCCGTACACGGGAAAGCCCGTGCGCGAGCAGGATTGATTTGTTTGGCCGTGGTGATGTGTGGTCCAGAGGCCCATCCCCAAGAGCCCCCCAGTCAAAAGAGGAGGAGAAGGAGGGGGAGGAGGAGGAGGAGGAGGAGGAGGAGAGTCCTCCTAGGGGGGGTCGGAGTAGGACAGGGAGGGGAGGATCGCGCCGCATCGCCGATGTATCGCCGACGTCGGCGTGGAGAAAATCGGGCTCCGCATCGAGCCGCATCGCCGATGCATCGGCGATGCGGCGCGATCCTCCGACCCCATCTCCTCCGACCCCATCTAGGAGGCCTAGAGAGGAGGAGGAGGCAAGCAGGAGTGAACCTAGGCAGGAGCGACCTGTGGCGCGCGGCGCTCGCGGGGGCCCTGGGCAGGCCCGGCCCGAGAAAGCGCGCAGGGCGCGGCTGCCTCAGCGCGCTACCAATCACTTGGGGGCCCCAGTTCGCGTGTTGCCAGAAGTGCCCCTGGCCCAAGGTGCCCCTACAGTCGGGGCGTTGACCTAAGGAACCCTAAACAAGGAACGAGGCCCCTATTTCCATAAGTTAGATTTCGATCTCATCTCGAAAGCCTAAGGAAAACCTGAGGCAGACTGCGAAACAATCAAGGAACACGGAGCCCCTCCCCAACGAAAAGGGCTCCTTCTTCAGGGCCCCGACTGTAGGACTTCCAAGGAGGCCCCTACGGCCTCCAGAGCACCCCTCGCGAGGCCCAGAGGGCCTCAGGGGGCTCCAAGGCTGAGCAAGAAAGCTGGAAGCACCTTGGGCCATGGGCACCTTCAGCAACCCCCGACCAGCGTGCCCGCACCAGGAAACCACTCTGGCAAAAGGCCACTCTCCCAGACAGCGGGCGCCTCGAACAGATCGAGGCGACGATTGTTCATACCGTTTTCGGCCTCGGAAATGGCCTTGGCCGGGCCTCGGGACCGTCAGAAACGAATCGGGATGAAAAGCTGGTCCCAGGGAAGTGGTCGAGAGGTCGGGGGCCCGCGTCTCGAAAAAGTCGAGACGCCGGATGTCTGGGCTTACGTGTGTAGCCGATTGACTTATACAGTCGGGGACTCTGCGATGGCGTGTCGCCAAGGCGGCCCTGGCGACATGCTGCGCCTTGCGAGGGGGTAGCCTGTCGCTCCGCATCGCGTGTGGTGGGCGTCGGTGAACGCTCGCGACGTTGGCGCCATGGGGACAGGGACGTTGGATAGCGTGTCGCGCCGAGGAGATCCAGCGGAGCGAAACGCCATCCAAAAACTTCCGACCAATTAGATCGCCCTGGACACGGCGATGCCTCGCCGATGGATCGGCGACGGGAGTCTCGAAAGCGACACTGCTCACGTTCCTGGGCGGGGCCCCTGTCGGGGCCAAAAGGGCGATTGGTGGTCGATGATCATCGCCCCCCCTCCCGAGCCCATCCCCCCCCCCTGACGTTGCCCCTGCGCACCTCCTCCTGCGCCCGCGCCAGCTCGGAGGAGAGCCAGTCCACCTGAGCGACGACAAGACCCCCGACGTCATGATTTCTTCATAACGTCGACCCCGAGAGTTCTCGACCCTTTCCCCGGGACAGGTTTGCGCCCCGAGTCGTGTTTTGACGGTCCCGGGGGCCGGTAAGGGCCCCAAAGGCCGAAAACAGTTAAAAACCTGTTCTTCGTGATTTTTTTCTTAGCGCGAGGAGGTATGGGTCTCACGCGAGATGGCATGGCGCTTTGCGCCGCAGCTGACGCGGGCCGCAAGCGCGGCACGCTATACAGTAGAAGCGCGGGCGAGCTCACCTGCGACCTCACGCGGGCCACTTGCGCGCCCGTGTCGGCGCCGTCGAGCCCGTTTTCTTCGTCTTCGGCGAATCCAAGCCCCCTCGGGTCATGACAAAAACATGACGGACGGTTTTTCGCTATTGTCGGCCTCCAGGGGGCCCTCACTGGGCCTCGGAACAGTCACAAAACTACTCAGCATGAAAAACTGATCCTGGGGAATGGGTCGAGACCTCTGGGGGTCGACGTCTTCTGAAAAAATCACGACGTCGGGGGTGTGGGCAGCAGTCGAACCCGTTTTCCTTTGTCTAAGACGAAGCCAGGATGAGGACAACTTCGAGCGAGGACAAATTGAGAATCTGTGAGGCTTGGCTGCTCTAAGGGATGTCTCGGGCGCGGCGTCCATCTCGGAGCGTTCAGGAACGCTCTGAGAGCGTTCCAGAAAGCTCTGGAACGGATTCATCCTCGTCCTATATCACCGTCTCAATCATCCGGCAGCTCCAATTTTTTGGATGCATGGGCCCCTCGAAATCTGGACCGCTACCCTGAGGCCGATTTTTCGTCCTGGATCATTGTTTGACGCTCCCGAGGCCCAGCGAGGGCCCCCAGAGGCCGAAAACGGCCCCAAACCCGGCGCCCACACTTTTGCCCCAGACTCCCGACGCCACATAATATTTTCATATAACCTCGACCCACAGAGTTCTCGACCCATCCCTCAGGACCGGCGAGGGCCCCCAGAGGCCGAAAACAGCGAGAAGCCTGCCATCGTGATTCTCATGACCCGAGGGGGTCTTGGGTCCCAGACCCCCGACGTAATGTTTTTTTCATTGCGTCGACCCAAGGGGTCGCGGCCCTTTCCCCAGGACTGGCTTTGCATCCTGAGTCGTTTTTTGACGCTCCCGAGGCCCGGTGAGGGCCCCCCGAGGGCCGAAAAGAGGAGAAGGAGGAGGAGGAGGAAGGGAGGGGGAGGAGGAGATGGAGGAGGAGGAGGAGGAGGAGGAGGTGGAGGTGGAGGTGGAGAAGGAGGTGGCGAGGAGGAGGAGGAGGAGGAGGAGGAGGTGGGGGAGGAGGAGGAGGAGGAGGAGGGAAGAGGAGGAGGAGGGAAGAGGAGGAGGAATAGGAGGAGGAGGGAAGAGGAGGAGGAGGAGGGAAGAGGAGGAGCCCTGCCCGTCGCTGCCCGCCTGGGCCCGCAGCTGCAGGCCCTGCTCGCCAGGCGGCGCGTCCGCGCCGCTGCGCTCCCGCTCCTCGCCTCCGCGGGGAGCTCTGCTGGCCCGGGTCGATCCCTCGCCATCGCTCGGACGTCCATTCCCTGTGCTTTTCTCAGTGTCGTGCGTGGATTTTTTCGCCACGTGATCAAGGATGCTCCTCGATGGCCCTCGCCGACGGAAACATGCACACGCCCGAGCGATGCCAAGATCCAACGGGGTCTCTGCTGGTGGGGGCGTCACTTCGCTCGTGAGCTCCCGAGCGAAGTGAACCCCACCCTCCCCCCCAGAAACCGCGGGGGGTAGGGGTACAGTCGGGGCGTTGACCTATAAGGAACCCTAAATAAGGAACGAGGCCCCTTTTTCCCATAAGTTGAACTTCGATTTCCCATCGAAAACCTAAGGAAACTCCAAGGCAAGCTGCGAAACAATTAAAGAACACGGAGCCCCTCCCCATCGAAAAGGGTTCCTTCTTCAAGACCCCTACTGTAGGGTTCGCATGTGGCCCCCTAGTCAATCCAACGATCGACCCTTGGCCCGTCGGGCGCCGCAAGACACTGCAGGACCTCCTGCAGGCTACCCTGGGATCCTGGCGTTGCAAATTTTGGCATCGGGCGTTCTCGCTCCACTTCGGGCCAGGGGACCTTCACGGATCGATCCGGCCCGAGAAATGGCGCAGGAAGGTGGGGCCCAGGGCTCCGGTGGTGATTTGTTGCGGCGTTGCATGTTTTGCATCGTCGGATCTCAGGGCAAGACGAGGCCAGGACGAGGATCCATTCGGGCGAGGATGCATCGAGGAACTCTGCAGTCCGGCGGTGCTGGAGGCCGCCTCTGGCGCCGCGGCCCTCTCAGAGCGTTCCGGGGCCCCCCCGAGAGCGTCCCAGAACGCTCTGGGTCGGATGCACCCTCGTCCTATCGGGAGCGGCCAAGAGGGGGGGGTCCAAGAGGGGGGAGTGCAAATCGTGAGCGGCGGCATGTGCGCGGCCCGGCGGGGGGGCCAGGGACGTAGTGAAATAAGAGGAGGCGCCATGAAGTCTGGGGCAATATCATGGTCCCCGCCATGATATCCACCCCCCCCTAGTCATCACCCCCCTCTTTTCCACCCCCGATGCTAGCCCCGTCCAACAGGATCCTGCACCCGAGCCCGGGTCAGTGCACTCCCTGGCTCTGCAGGCCCCTGAATCTCGCCATCGCTCGGACGCCCATTCCCTGTGGTTTTTTTTCGGTTTCGTGCGTGGCTTTTTCGCCAATTGATCAAGGATGCTCCTCGATGGTCCTCGCCGAAGGAAAAATGCACACGTCCGAGCGATGCCAAGGAATGTCCTGGCGTCTCCATGAAATCTGGGGCAATATCATGGCCCCCGCCATGATATCCACCCCCTCCTAGTCATCCCCCCCCTCTCTGCCGCCCCCGATCCCAGCCCCGTCCAACAGCAGGATCCTGCACCCGAGCCCGGGTCAGTGCACACCCTGGCTCTGCAGGCCCCAGAATCTCGCCCTCGCTCGGACGTCCATTCCCCGGTTTTTTTTGTCGGTTTCGTGCGTGGCTTCTTCGCCAAAGGATCAAGGATGCTCTTCGATGGGTCCTCGCCGAGGGAAACAAATGCACACGTCCGAGCGACGCCCAGGAATGTGTCCTGGCGTCTCCCTGTTCTTTCGGGCCGGGCGCGCCCTCGCCCTGAAATTCTCGGGCCCCCTGGGGCCCTCGCCGATCGATCTGGCTGGAGACATGGCGCAGGAAGGCGAGGTCGACGTCTCTGGCCTCGAGATGTGGGAGCGACAAGACTACAACGCGAGGGCGCTCAAGTCCTCGAACCGCGACGGGCCGAATTGGAAGCTGGTGCGGGCCCGAGAGACGTTTTGCATGGATACGGGCGACATCATCGAGGACCTGCGGTGGATCCGCGCTGGGCCCCTCGGCGGCGCATGGCATGGTGCGCATGGGGCTCCAGTCTTGATTTCTCTCAATGTCTCAACTTCTTCGAGACGTCAGCTCTCCGGGGGATCCTGCAAGCTCCAGCGCTCCTGCTGACACCCCCGGTCTTCCTTGACCCCCTCATCACGTCCACCCCCGGAGTTCTCGACCTATTCCCTGGGACCGGCTCTCACCCTGAATCGTTGTGTTCACGGTCCCGAGGCCAGGTAAGGGCCCCTGGAGACCGAAACTTACGAAAACCTGCTGCCGTCATATGGGGAAAAGAACAAACGCGATAAACACAAACTTCTGGCGCTCCGCGCGGATTTCTCGGATCTGCGCTGGACCCCTTCCCTGGCGCGCAGCGCGCCAGGGGCGGCGCAGGAGGCGCCGCCGAGGGGCCCAGCGCGGATCCGCGCGAAGCGCCAAAAGTTCATGTCTGTGTGGCTTCTTCTTCTTCTTCTTCTTCTTCATCTTCAACGGAGGCCGAAAACTCTGACAAAAACTAACGTCGTGATCTTCTCATGGCCCGAGGGCGTCTGGGTGCACGGTTTTCCCTGGGGCCGTAGGCGACCCGAGGAGGAGGAGGAGGAGGAGGAGGAGGAGGAGGAGGGAAGAGGAGGAGGTGGAGGGGAGGAGGAGGAGGAGGAGGAGGAGGAGGAGGGAAGTGGAGGAGGAAGGAGGAGGCGGGTAAGAGTGGAGGGAGGAGAAAGAGGAGGAGAAGGAAGGGTGGGGAAAGAGGAGGGAAGGGGTGGAAGGAACGGGAGAGAAGGAGGAAGAGGAGGAGGAGGAGGAGGAGGAAGGGGAGGAGGAGAAGGAGGGAAGAGGAGGAGGAGGAGGAAGAGGAGGAGGAGGGAAGAGGAGGAGGAGGAGGAGGAGGAGGAGGAGGAGGAGGAGGAGGAGGAGGACGAGGACGGAGAAACCCCGCAGGCCTGGGCCTCTGGAGCCCCGAGCGCCTGGAGGCCCCGCTGCGCCGGCCCGCGTCGCGCAGGCGAGGCCCTCCGCCCCGCTCATGGCGCGCGCCGGAGGCCGCTGATACAGTCGGGGCGTTGACCTAAGGAACGATAAGTAAGGAACGAGGCCCCTATTTTCCCATATAGTAAACTCCGATGTTCCATGGGAAACCTCATGAAACAACACAGGAGCACTGTAAACCAGCTAAGGAACACGGAGCCCCTCCCCAACAAAAAGGGTTCCTTCTCCAGGGCCCCGACTGTAGGGGGACAGAAAGTGCCATAAGCATAAAAGCTCGGAGGTCCGCGCGGACTTCTCGGATCGGCGCGGGACCCCCCTCCCTGGCGCCTCCCGGGCGCGCCAGGGGCGGCGCCGGAGGCGCCGCCGGGGGGCCCCAGCGCGGACCCGAGAAATCCGCGTGGATCCCAGCCCTTCGCCATGGTGGCCTTTGGTGCTCCTCCTCCTCCTCCTCGTCCTGCGGATCCTCCTCCTCCTCCTCCTCCGAGTTTTTATGTTTACGCCACTTTTTGTTCCCCTGGATGAGGCGCGCCGCGGGCGGGCCGGGCGGCGCGCCTCGGCGGGCCGGACGGCGCTCTCGCGCGGGCCGCTCGTCTGCTGCACGCGTCTGGCGCTGCTCCGGCTATTCCCCGGGCCCCGCGGGCAGAGAGAAGACATCACGACGGGAGGTCTTCGCTAATTTTCGGCCTCGGGGGGCCCTCGCTGGGCCTCGGGACCGTCAGAAGACGACTCAGGATGAGAAACCGGTCCTTGGGAATGGGTCGAGAACTCTGGGGATCGACGCAATGAGAAAATCATGACGTCGGGGGTCTGGGTCTGCTGATTCCCGACCTCTGTTCAGCTTCTTCTCGTCCGTGCTCTGGCGCCTCCGATGGCAACCGGTAGCCCTCTTTTCCACCTCCTCCCCCTATTCCTCCTCCTCCTGCTCCTCATCCTCCTCCTCCACTCCTCTTGTCTCTTGGTATTGCTCCTCTGCTTTCTCCTCTGATCCTGCTCCTTCTTCTTCATCCTCTCCATTAGGAGGGCACATGCGAATCCTACCCCACCACCCGACGATTTCTAAGGGGGAGAGGTGGGGTAGGGTTCGCATGTGGCCTCCTCCCCATATGGCCATTTGGGCTCAGGCCCCACGTTCAGACGAAGCCAGGACGAGGATAGCATCGCGCACGGACAAATCGAACATCTCTGAGACCTGGCGATTCTGGACGATGCCTCGGGCGCCAGGGCCTCCTCGGAGCGGTCCGAGACGCCCTGAGAGCGTTCTGGAGCGCTCTGGAACTCGGGGGCGCGGACATGGATTGGCGATCCATGGATTTGCCGCGCGGGCGCCAAATCCATGGATTGGGGGAGGTAACCTCCCCCAAGTGCGGCCGATGCCGCCCGGTTCGGCGGCGGAAACCAGCGATTCCCCGTGGAAGCGGGACCCGTCGCTAATCCACGCCCCCTTGATCCATGTGGGCGATCGCCTCAGGAACGGATTCATCCTCGTCCTAGCCTTAGGTCGGGCCTGTCCCCCTAAACGCGGATTCGAGGCGAAAGATCAAAAATAGTCCAACAATATCCAACACAGGCTCAAAGTAGTATTTCACCCAAAACAAAAATCGCCCCTGGACTATTTTTGGACTCTCTCTGGCTACTCCCCCTGCAGAGAGGGGCAGGCCCGACGTAAGCCCAGCCCCGTCCTGCACGTCGCCTCCCCCCTCGGGGCTCCCGCGGAGAGCGCGCGCCTATAGCCGCCACCGCGCCCCTTCGGCTCGCGGCGCGGCCGCGTCGGGTGCCCTGCGGGGCCCCTGGCTCGCTCCCTTGATCGGGTCGGGCGAAAGGGGGGGTGTGAGAATCCGCTCACGTAGCTGATTTTCCCGGCGCCTCCCAGCGCCGGAGGCGGCTATGTATCGAGGAATGGGCTCGGCGGCGGGGCCGAAACCAGCTGCATGCAGCAGATTTCGTACCCCCCCCCCTTTCCCAATCCCCCCTTTCGACCGGCCCGACTCGAGCGGGGGGGCCGTGCCCTGCCGCGGCGCGGGCATCGAGGCCCCTCCCCCCTCGGCGGGCACCGATGCCGGCCCCAAAACCCTCCGCGGAGGGCGGCGCGCCGAGCTCGCGGGAGCTTTCCCCCTGCACGGGCGAGGCGGGGGGGGAGCTTCGAGGCTCGAGCGTCGAGGCTCGAGCTTCGAGGCACGAGGAGGCTCGAGGCTCCCGGCACGGGCGAGGCGAGGGGGGGGGGCTTCGAGGCTCGCGCTTGGAGGCTCGAGGCTGCCGGGGGGACTTCGCAGATCCCTGGCGGCCTTCCTCCGCCCTCGGGGTGCGCCGCGGCGGCTGCGCCTCGCCGGAGGCTCCCCCCGTCTTCGGGGACAAAGCTTCGAACACTTCTCAGAAGGCCAGGGGACTCCCGAGCCTCCCCCCGCGGGCTCGCCGCGGGAGGATGCATGCCGCATGCCCTCTTCACGCAGTCTGGGCGATGTCTCCGCCTAGTGGGGCAGTACGCGGTCATCCAGGATTTGCCGCAGTGCGTGGCGAAGCAGATCCTGGACGAGATATCGAGGGTCAAGTGCCAGCAGGACGCGGAACGCCTCCTCCTTGCGGAGCTGAACTTCAGCAGGGAGGCCCCGCTTCGAGTCGCAGCGCGAGCTCGAGCAGCCTGGCCTCCCGATCTAGCCAAGGGCGCCTTGCTTCGCGCTCCGCGCTGCGCAGATAGCTTCGCGCTCTCGCGCCACCCTCCGTGGGAGAAGGGGAGGACGAGAACGCATCGGAGCCGAACCGCGAATGGCGCGAAGCGCAAAGCACTTCGCGCCCTCGGGGGCGCCCTTGCCGAGCTGGTGAGGAGGAGGAGGAGGAGGAGGAGGAGGAGGAGGAGGAGAAAGGAAGAGGTGGAGGAGGGAGGAGGAGGAGGAGGAGGGAGAAGAAGAAGAGGAGGAGTAGGAGGAGGAGGAGGAGGAGGAGGAGGAGGGAGGAGGAGGAGGAAGGAGGTGGAGGAGGAGGATTAGTGGGAGGAGGAGGAGGAGGAGGAGGAGGAGGAGGAAGGATGGAGAAGTTTCAAGGTTCGTTGTTTGAGGAGGAGGAGGGGAGGGAGGGGGATGGAATTGAGGATGGAGGAGGAGGAGGATGAGGAGGAGGAGGAGGAGGAGATCGAGGAGGAGGCGGAGGAGGAGGGAGGAGGAGGAGGATGAGCGAGGAGGAGGAGGAGGAGGAGGGGGGGGAGGAGGAGGAGGAGGAGGTGGAGGTGGAGGGAGGCAGAGGAGGAGGAGGAGGAGGAGGAGGTGGAGGAGGGGAGGAGGAGGAGAAGCTGAGGAGGAGGAAGAGGAGAGGAGGAGGGAAAGAATAGAGGAGGTGGAGAGGACGAGGAGTGGATTCGAGGTGGAGAGGAGGAGGAGGAGGAGGAGGAGGAGGACGAGGAGGAGGAGGACAGCTTCGGCCCTCCTCTGCATCCCAAAAGTCTTCGCGTCGCGGCCCCCTCCAGGCGGCAGCACTGGCCTGCACGGAGGCAGGGTGCCCTTCGGAGTCGCGCGGTTGTCCTCCCCCTCCTCCCCTCGTCCTCCTCCTCCTCGTCCTCCCTGACACCCTCTCCCTCTCACTCGCCCTCCTCGTCCTGCTCCTCCTCCTGCTCCTCCTCATTCCTGATTCCCGATGGCTGTAGTGTCAGTCGAACGCAGCCCTCCTCCCTTCTCCTCCTCCTCCTCCTCCTCCTCCTCCTCCTCCTCCTTCCAGCGCATGTAGGTGCCTCGGCACGCAATGGTTTGCGTGACTGGATTATGTCAGCCGGATCCCGTGTGCAAGTAGGCGTACGAAAGGGGGGATTCGTGTGCAGCCGACCCAACGGAAATCCGAATAGGGTTCGTTCTTCCCTCCTCGTGCTCCACACTTGCCGCGTCCGCCTCTACTTCGCCCCCCCTTCCGCCTCGCCCTCCTCCAACCAACTGGTCCAAGTCTGGTGCGCGTCCCTGCCCCTCGTCCGCGACATAGTCCTCATCTCCGTCTTCCTCCTTCAGCTCCTCCAGCTCTACCTGTTCCTTCTCTTCCTCCCCCTTCTCCTCCTCCTCCTCCTCCTCCTCCTCCTCCTGTTCTTCCGAGCCCTCGGACAAGGACGCCGTGCTCGAGACCGCGGAAGCGCTCGGTGTACTTGAGGCGGTCCTGCGCGAGAGGCGCCGCAGCGGAGGAGAGTTAGGCGGGCTCCTCATCGCTCCTCCTCCTCCTGATCCTCCTCCTGCCACTCCTCCTCCACCTCCCTCCTCTCTCCTCCCTCCTCCCTCCCCCCTCCTCCACCCTCCCTCCTTCCGCCTTCCTCCCTCCTCCCTGCTCCCTCGGCCCTGCTGTCTCCTCGTCCTCGTTCTCGTCCTCCCTCTCGTCGCTCCTCCTCCTGCTCCTCCTCTTCCTCTCTCGTCCTCGTCCTCGTTCACATCCTCGTCCCCCTCCTCCTCCTCATCCTCCCCCTTCCTCCTTTCGGTCCTCCTCCTACTCCTCCTCTCCTCCCTCCTCTCCTTTCATCTCCTCCTCCTCCTCTTTCTCCTCCTCCTCCTCCTCCCCCTTCCTTCCCCGCCTTCACGTGCTCCTGCTCCTGCTCCTGCTGCTCGGCTGCTGCTCCTCCTCCCCCTCCTCATTATCATCCTTATCCTCATCCTCATTCTTCCCTCCGCTCGAACTCCTTCTCCTCATCTTCCTCCTCCCTCTCCTCCTCCAGCTTCTCCTCCTCCTCCTCCTCCTCCTTCTTCCCTTCCCTCCGCTGGAAGTCCCCAAAGGCCCCTGGAGGCAAAACCACGACGAGCCTGGCGCAAGGTTCATGGGGCAGTGCATGGCCCTCTCTTCTTACGTTGCGCGCCGCTGGCCAATTCGGATGGGGTGTGCGGAATAAGCGTGTACCGCAAGTTCGCGTCGTGTAGACCCCGGCGTAGGCTCCTGACACCGCGGGGATCATGCAACCTTGAACCATCGGCGGCTTCCCGATCGCCAAATCATTCAATCTTGGCCTACTCTGGGCCACTAGCGGCGTTCAACCTTGAACGCCCGCGCTGGGGTCGTCGCCAATCGACACGACGAAAAACCTAGCGAGGTAGGATCTGTCTGCTGCTGAGGCGCCGTTGACACGGATCCGAAGGAGGAGGACGTGGAGAGAGAGGAGGAGGAGGAGGAGGAGGAGGAGGAGGCGGAGGAGGAGGAGGAGGAGGAGGAGGAGGAGGAGGACGAGGAGGAGGAGGAGGAGGAGGAGGGAGAGGAGAGGAGGAAGACGAGGAGGAGGAGGAGGCTGGATGGGGAGGAGGAAGGTGGGGAGGAGGAGGAGGGGGAGGGGAGGAGGAGGGAGGTGGAGAGGGGAGGAGGCGGAGGAGGAGGAGGAGGAGGAGGACGAGGAGGAGAGAGGAGGAGGAGGGGGAGGAGGAGGAGGAGGAGGACGAGGAGGAGGAGGAGGCGGGAGGAGGAGGAGGCTGAGGAGGAGGAGGATGAGGAGGAGGAGGAGGAGGACAGGGAGGAGGAGAAGGAGGAAGAGGAGGAGGAGGTGGAGGATAGGATATGATAGGACAGGATGAGATAGGATAGGATTTCATAGGATAGGATAGGACTCGGCCTTGTGTTGTGGGGGGTGATATGCAACTATACACATCGTGTGATACGCGTGCAAATGCTGCCTCGAACGGTCGCATATCTACTATACGAGGTTACTGGTAACGCGCGCCGTGCAGCACTCATCAAGTTACGGAGAAGTTGTTCGCATGAAGCAGCGTCACCCGCGAGCTGAAGGGAACGCCCCGCTGGCCCCTGGAGGCCGATGCCTCACGGCACGGCTGGTGCCAGGCTGGCACTCTGGGCAACCGCCCAGCCCGAAACAGAAACTGAAACCTGACAAAAGAACCAGGCTGTTACACCTGACGCGGAAACGGGCATGCGCCTTCTTGCTAAAGACGAGCTGCGGCCTGAGGAACCTCAGGCGACCATGACGAACCGCAGCGGGACGCCGATCCCCAAGCTGAACATTACCATGAACAGCAGCTTCCACATCCATGCACAATACACTGCCCGGGAAGAGAGGTGGGTGGCCCGTCCCAAAGGGGCGAGTCCAACGCCCACCACAGGCTCACTGGCGGGCTCGTAGCATACAGTAGAGCCCGTCGGGAGCAGCAAAAGTTGGCGACGTGCGCCCAGCAGCCGCAGTGGCACGCTGGAATTTGCGCTCGGCGCCAAGAGCAAAACCAGCGACGTGAGCCCAGCAGCCGCAATGGCACGCTGTGGCTTGCGATCTAACGCCAAGAACTCGCCCTGACGGGGATCGGATCGTATAACCATCACAGGAACCACTGAAAAGCCTCAACACGAAGAGATTCACAATCAAGCCGAAATCCGATGGACGAGATGCTCGTTCACGAGCGGCCACGCGTGCACGTGGAGCGTCGAGCCTGGCCGCCCAATTCTCCCTTACAGGCGCCTTGCCATTTCCATTGCTCTTGCCCCCGAGCTCGTGCTTGTCCAGCATATCCTGGGCCCGGTGTTCGAGACGGCCCTGCGGTTCAGTGCCCTGTTTGAGAACCCCGCCCATGCCTTTGATGAGGAAGCACCGCCGTCGCATTCTCGATCACCAGCTTGGGGTAGGTGTGCGCCTCGTTTGTGTCGCTCGTAACCTGCGCCCCGTCCACGATGGCGAACTGCAGTCTGGTCATGTTCTCGTTGTAGCACCACTTGCATCTGAAGTGTCGGATCGACACGCCTAGCTCATGTTGCTGTTCACGTAATATAAACTTGTTGTAGGACAGGCGCGCCACCTCGAGGCCCCCCCTACCCGATCTTCTGGCTCGATTCCGCGCCCACTAAGCACTTGAACCTGCGCGCGCCATGTGTAAGTGTGGCGGCCCCAGCTTGTCCTTCACGCTTGGAGGCCCAGCCGCCTCCGAGTTGAGCTTCCACGCGGCCCTGGAAGGCAAGATAATTGGGGCGATAGTCGGTGCCAGCTCGCATGCCCAGATCACAGCGGCGATGTCGCGGCAGCTGAGAGTGCACGCAGAGACCTTTTAGGAGCAGGCCCAGCGCCTGTCCAATGTCTTTTGCCTTTAGCGCCCCTTCCACGGCCATCGGCGCGCCCTCCGCGTCGTCTGCTGCTTCGGCCAATCTCTTTGGCTTTTTGACTCTGCTGCCCTCGCCGTTCGATGGCTCGGCTCCCCTTTTCCCCAACTCGGTGAGGGCCGAGGGGTCCGTCGCGTCGATTGGCGCCGCCGCAGCCGCGCCTTCCCCAGGCGCGGTCGGTCCGACGCTGGCGGGCGGTGGAAGGGAGCAATGTGAACGAATGCGCACCTGCAGGTCGAATAAAGTTTGGGCCCAGTGACTGCGTGCAGGACATGCCAGTTCTCGTGGGATCACCACGTCCTGCGCCAGGAAGGAGCGCCTCCCCCGACTGCAAATATTGCGGTTGAGCGGCCTCGTGACGTGTCGTCCAGCGTTTTTCCGTACTCAGTACTTGCATGCATCTAAAGCATCGGTTGGTGATGGTTAGCATCGCAGCCTCGTTTCGGACTCTGCGCGCCCGTCCAGCACGGCGAAGGAGCTCCTTCATGGCGCAGGACCGTTCGTTGCACTTGGCACCCGCGCTGAGCGCAATATTGCAGACAGACTGGCCCTCCTGGGCCGTCTCCTCACCCACCTCGGGGACCTGGCGCCTCGGGATGGCACTCGGGGGGTGCGAAAGATGCCGGGTGAGTCTCGGCCCTCAGGACGGAGAAATCCAGGTGGGCCCAGCCCCTGTAATACTGGAGGTAAAGCAGCTTCATGAGGGGGTACTCTGAGGGGACCATCTCGGAGAAGTCCTCGCAGCGGCAGTGGCAGCGTGCGCATCGAAGGTCCTATAGGAACTGCTGAGCCCAAGGGGTTGGCCTTGGGGCCAGGTCCCACGACCCGGCGATGGTGTCGAAGCTCCCCATGGTCCATACGCGCCCTCGCCAATCTGTGAGCCTCTGGGAAGCGAGCCCAACTTTGGTACCAACCGAGACGACGCACCCGAAGCTCCTCCAATATCGGCAGGATTTCCCAGCACTCCCAAACCTTCAAAGACGGCCGCCTACGGATCTCCCCCGCGTTGCCCTCGGTGGCCCCCCAGGAGCCCGAGGCCCCTGCGCATGGCCAGCATGGCGACGCGATTCGCATGCTCGCAGAGAAAACCATCGAGCGCGCGAGCATCCATCCCCGAGAGGAGAGTCGACTGGACGAAAGCGATGATCGCCATGCGCTTGATGGCCCTTGCCGCAGGCTTGACGAGGAAGCGCGATATGAGCCCTAGACCGTTTTCCCAGCTGGCATCCTCGTGGTCTTTCCCACGGCCAGGGGCCCAGTCGAAGTGCGCCAACCGCCCGGGATCCCGATGCGTCGCCGGCAGGCCCCCGACGTTTTCCCCAACAGTGCCAGATGCGTCTCTGCGCCGCGCAGCCTCGACCAACGGCCCCAGCTAAGGTGACGCGCTTATCGGGGCTCAGAGGGGGTGCCGATCTCCAAGAGCGCCCCTCGAAGGTGCGTGCTACTCGACTCCCAGGGGCGCCGCCTCGCTGCCGCTCGCATAGGGGTCGGCCCTCCAACCTGGGACCGCAATCTTCGCGATGTCATCTGCGAATATAGCCAGGCCCACGTCGCTCGAGTTCCCGCCGATCTCGATCGCCTCGGCATATTGTCGCGAAGTAATTCTCGAAAGATGGTCGCAGTATCGGGCAAGGCCGATCTCGTAGTAATAAGGGGAAGCGCGCGCAGGAGTGGGGTGCCCCATCATCCCACCCCCCCATCGTCGGTCTCTATGTAACCGCTCCCGATGGTGAATCGATATGAAGGGCCCCCCTGAACCGTCCGTCGATGCTGAAAGATGGTGTCTTCTGCCTGATAGAGAAGGGGGAGAGCGCCCAGGATCACATTCCTGTCCGCGCTCGCAAAGGCGCTCGTCGCATCCTCGCTAATTATGGCGTGAGACAATCCATCTTGCCTGAGGCGGGGGGAACACAGGCCTGCGCCGCAATGGCATCCTCGCGCCGCCGACGATGTGCGAAGCCATGGCAGTGCTGGGGTAGGCTCTCCCGGGCTTGCCGTGAACGCTGCCATAGCCATGGGTTCCAAGCTCTGCCCATCGGGCAGAACAGGTGAAACCATCGTTGGCTGGCCGCCCCCAACTTTCCGCTCCTCTCATCTCGCCCGCTACAGGAAGAGATATCGAACAGAAGTGGGGTCTGTCGGGACCTGCGAAAGCATGTGATAACATCAATCATCCTCTCGGAAAAGGCTGTCGCTGCCGAAGGCCAGGTGCTGGCGCCAACCCCGCCACTCTGGAAAGACACCCAGACCTCCTCGTCCAGAAGCAGTAGCCAGAGTTCAGTCGGCATCGACCAATGCGGGCACGCTTTGCGCTTTGGGGAGGACCGTAGCAACCTGAGCATGCCCTGAAGATCCACCCGGGCCTGCTCGAGGTTCACCATCTGCATCGTGTCGTACCTGGCCTGGTCCGAGCTGAACGTCTCCTCCGCGTCGGTCAAGTGAGGTCGACCGAAACGTTCTGCTAACTCTTGCTGGAGATCACATGGTGCCCCGCCTGGGCCCACGTCTTCCGCCGCCTTCTGAAGGAAAGAACTGATCTGCTCTGCGTCGCACTGCTCCGTTTTTGCCACAAGTTATGTTCGTTGCCGTGGTCCCCGTCCTCGACGAGAAAATATGCGAATGGGTCTCTGTATTGTGTTATGATCGTAAGCTGACCAAGCTTCGTTAATTTGTTGGACCAGGTCCGCTGCGCGCTCCTCGTTGACCTTCTTCGCCAGGACTCTGATGAGCAAACTACGTCTGGCCAACTCCAGCTCCTTGCCCTGCCACGATTCGGTGAATCTGCCCGCGTAGGTGCCCTTCAAAAATTTCGGGCGCTCCAGCGCGAAAGAACGCGTTTCCTCTAAGTCGGATTTATCCTGTTCCAGTTCCGTGTTTTGGCAAAAAACGCCCCGCGCCTCGTTGCAGAGGCGAGGGGCAAGTGAGTTCCACAGTTCGTCCGTCGTTGGTCTCGTGCATAGTCAAACCCAATCCTGCTCCTCGATGGATAGCGACTCCTCGCGCGCAGCTTCGATAAGCGAGGTGTAACCCTCACCTCTGCGCGCCGAGGACATGCTGCGATCGAAATTCCAACCAGGCGTCCTTCCCATCTGTGCTGGAAGCAGTATGCAAACTCAACAAATACGGGCATATGGTCTCGGACGTCGAGTGTCTGGATCGGTTGAAGACGACGACCAGCAGCTTCCAGAACCCGACATCTCTTAATGTGTGTCAGTAGACCTTGAAATGTAGGTATGAAATCAATCAACGACGTCTTTCCAATGTTGCCGAAATATGTCGGACCCACGTCGTAGAAAGTGCTGCATGCCGCCAACTCGCAGCCTTTTTCAACAATTGATGCCACAAACGCCCTGCGATACCCTCCGGCGGCGGAGCGATGCAGCCCACCGCGAGGTCCTCCTCCTCCTCCTCCTCCTCCTCCTCCTCCTCCTCCTCCACCCAGTAATGTAGTTCCGCCTCGTCCAGCGAGCCCTCGGGAGACAAGCTTCTCTCGGGAAAAATACGATTGTGCAACATCACCGAAACTCCGCATGACTTACTGCTGGCCCTTGCCCTGCCAAAAGAAGTTTCCCAATGTCGATCGTGTCGACATATAATATGATCATCCTCTCCTTTCTTCTGCATGTGCCAGGAAGATGGATGGCCCCGATATTGTGGAACTCGTTGCTCAGGTCGGCGCCTCTCATTGGACCCACCATATGCAGAGGATTGTACGTTCAAGCTCGAATATGCGTGTGTCCGCTAGGTGGGGGGCGTTGGCATGGTGTACTCGTCATAGCCCAAACGACGATCACGAACACCGCCTGCAGGCACTCACGGCGAGGGGTCAGCGCCTGCAGAGCCATCCGCCACCCCTTCACGGGCTCGGCAAATCCCGCGAGCGACGCTGCATGCCGCTGCCGCGGGATCTCTTACCTCTGGAGTGGGATGAGCCGCGAAGGGAGGGAGTTCGGGCCGCTACGGCGGCTGAGGAGGAGGAGGAGGAGGAGGAGGAGGAGGAGGAGGAGGAGATAGAGGATAGGGAGGAGAAAGATAGGGGGCCAAGGAGGAGGGGCCTTTCCTCCACAGGGCGCACGGCGCGCCACTCCACGTGCCTTTCCCGCGGCGCAGACGTGCCCGCCCTGAAGGGACGCGGCGGCCCCCTCGCGGCTCCGGGCGGCGCCCCGTGGCCGCCCGCGGGGCTGAGGCGGGCGCGCCGCGAAGCTTCGCCCGCTTCTTGGGGCAATGGAGGCAAGGGCAGCGGGGGAAGCGTCCTCCTCCTCCTCCTCGTCACCTCGCCTCCTCCTCCCTCCTGCTGCCTCCTCCTCCTCCTCCTCCTCCTCCCTCCTCCTTTCCTCTCCTCCTCTCCTCCTTTCTCCTCCTCCTCCTCCACCTCCACCTCCTCCTCCTCCTCCTCCTCCTCCTCCTCCTCTCCTCCTCCCTCCCCACCTCAGAACTAAGGACTGACGGCCTCATAGCTCGTACCTCCTTCTCCTCCTCGTCCTCGTCCTCGTCCTCGTCCTCCTCCTCTTCTTCCTCCTCCTCCTCCTCCTCCACATCCTCCTCCTCGTCCTCCTCCTCCTCCCCAATCTCAGAACTAAGGACTGACGGCCTCAGAGCTCGTACCTCCTCCTCCTCCTCCTTCTCCTCGTCCTCGTCCTCGCCCCTGTCGGCGACGAGCGGGCAACGGAGGGTCGATGCATTCCCCCCAACAGTCAAGCTGCTGCAATCAGCAATAAGGAGCGCTACACTCGCCGACCCTGCCGGCGTGTGTGAGATGTCTTTCGTTCGAGCCGTCGCCATCGCCGCCGCTGCTCCCCACCCTGTACCTGGACCCTCCTCCTCCAGCGACCCGGCCAGACTGGAACCAAACAGCGTCGCACTCGATCCGAAGGGAAGCCTCTTCCTTCAGATCCCGTCCCCGCGCCAGGGGGGGGGGGGCTCTCCCCTTTTTCGCCCCTCGCCTCCCTGGGGGGGAACCCTGGCGGTCGTGATCCCGCCCCCTCCTCCGACCAAGACGGTCCGAGAGAGTGGGGAACCGCAGTCGAGTCGAAGGGGAAGCCCGTGGTCCCTTCCCCGCCGTGGGGAGCGGTCCCTTCCCCGCCGTGGGGAGCGGTCCCGGGAGGGGATCGCTCGGGGGGGTGTCCCGGCGAGGGTCCCGAGGCCAACAGGGCGCACAGGGTCTTCCGCAAGGACTTGCGAGCGTCGTCGGCGTCGTCGTCGCCATTATCGTCTTCGTCGTCACCCTCCAGGGTCGGCGGCCCCGGCCGTAGTGCCTTCGCAATCATGAACGAAGCTCCCCGTTCGCCCCAAGAGCGTCTGCGTGGAAGAGGAGCGCTAGAGAAACCGCCATGGGAGGGCCCAGGGAATAACGATCCCCGTCCAGACCCAAGGCAGTCCTCATTTCAGCAGGCTGACTGCCACGCTGCCTCCGACTCGGCCGCCAGCCGGGGGAACAGTGAGAGGGGGCGGGCCTTCCCAGATGGCTCGGAGGTCCTCTCCAGCCTCCGGCGCACGAGAATTCCGCGGAAGGCCGGAGGGCTTCTGGGAAGGCCTCCTCCTTCTCGCTTCCCCCCCCGCGCTCGCCGCCGGCTGGCAGCTGCCCGGGCGTGCCCGCTCACTCGTCGCAGTGCTGGCGCCAGGCGAGCTCCCGCAGGGCCGCCGCGACCCCGGCGTGGCCCTGGGCGGCCTCCAGAGCGCCCACGACCCCGCGCACGGCCCCGAAGCCATAGACCACGTTGCGGGTGAAGGCCACGGTGGGGCCGCCGAGGTTCAGCACGCAGTGCCACCAGCCGGGGGGGATTATCGGGCCGGACCCAAAAAACGGGACAGATCCCTGAGACCCAGACACCCTCGAATCATAAAAAAACACGACCGAAGGTTGTTCGCTATTTTCGGCCACCTGGGGCCCTTACCAGGCCTCGGGAGCGTCAACAAAACCACTCAAGATGCAAAGCCAGTCCTGGGGAAAGGGTCGGGGCCTCTGGGGTCGACGTAATGAACCAATCCTTGCGTTGGGGTCTGGGATCCCTGCGATCCTGGCGTCTCAATGTTTGCGAGCTGGGCGTTCTCTCGCCCCGGCTGGGGCGCCGGGATTCTCGCAGAGCGACCCAGCTCGAGACATGGAGCAGGGGTCAAGGGCTTTCGCCGTGTTCCAATTCTTCCGAGACGTGGTGTCCTTGGCGCGCCGATGACGGCAACACCAATCCACTCCCCCTCCAGGACTTCGCCCCCTGCCCCAGTCCATGGCGTACCTTGTCCTGTGCAAGATCTTCGGCACCGCCCGCCCGCGCCCTGTCTCCCCAATTAGGGCTTCGCGCGCCCCGCCTAGCTCTTGACCGGAAGGGGCCCGCTCCCGACCCGCCGACCAAAACAAATTCTTTCGAGGCGTCGGATCTCAGGGTGTACAGGGTGACCGCATGAGCTCATGCACCCAGTGGCCTCCAGTTCTCCCGGCGCCAGAGGCAGTGCCGAACCCAGCTGTACGCAACCACTGTCGTTTGCCCCGCTGTCCCTACCCAGACCCCCCACGTCTCGATTCGTTCAATACGTCGACCCCCAAAGGTCTCGACCCATTCCCCAGGACCGGCTTTTCACCCTGAGTCGTTTTTCGACGGTCCCGAGGCCGGGTGAGGGCCCCCGTATAGGCCGAGAATAGCGAAAAGCCTCCCGTCGCGAGTTTTTGTTCACAACGCGAAGAGGTCTGGGCTTGTTCCGACCCGAGATGTACACGATGTCGCCCGCCTCGGCGACCACGTCCACCGGTGGCCGGCGGTCCGCCGGCAGCGCCGGGAGCACCTCTTCATAAGAAGAGCAACTTTCAGGGGTCTGCAAAAGCTTTTCGGATCGGCGCTGGACGGGCGCGGCGGCAGAGGTGCCGCCGGGGGGATCCAGCGCAGATCCGAGCAGTCCGCGCGGACCTCCGAACTCCTATGGCTATGGAAGAGAAGCCTCTCAAGATTGGGTCCGAGGCGGTGGTGTCGAAGGATCGCGCCGCATCGGCGGCATCGGCGATGCATCGGCGCCGTCGGCGCGGAGAACGTCGGGGTCCACATCGCGCCGCATCGCCGATGCATCGGCGATGCGGCCCGGCCCTGCGACCCCATGTTCTCGAGCCCCCTTCGGGAGGCCTGGGTACAATCGAGCTCGATTGGAAAGGACACGCGAGAGGACCCGAAGACCCTTCCGAGGGCCACACTGCCCAGGAATGTGAGAAGGCACGGGTCGCAGGGCACAGGACACACAAGGGTGCCCTCTATCTGGCAGGGTCGGCCTGCCCACGCGAACGTCTTCTTCTCCTTCTTCTTCGGCCTCTCGACATTGGGAGGAAGGGGGGGGGGGGGGGGGGAAGGGAGGGGGGTCTGGCTCTGGACCCCTGCGTCATGCCAGTGCTTTTGCGACCGTGCGCCCCGTTCGGGGGAGACGCCACCTGCTCGAAGCAGCAGGCGCCCAGACACAGCCAATAGGGGGCCACATGCGAACCCTGCCCCTACCCCCCCCTCGGACATCGTGGTGGGTAGGGGCAGGGCTCGCATGTGGCCCCCTAGCCAAGATCCACTCCACAGGGGGGAGGGGCGCAGACCCCCGACGCCGTGATTGCTTCCCTACGTCGACCCCCAGAGGTTTGGCGGCGAGCAGAAGGGGGTAGTGGGAGGGGGGAAGGCTTCTTAGAAGGAAGCTGCTTCTTAGAAGGCGCCGGCCTTACATCTACAGAGAAGGCCCGCACCTTCAAAGAAGCAGGGGTGCTCCTAAGAAGCCTTCCCCCCTCCCCCTATACCCCCCTCTGCGCGCGGCCAAGAGGTCCCGACCCCTTCCCCAGGACCGGCTCAGCACCCCGAGCCGCTTTCTGCCGTTCCCGAGGCCCGGCGAGGGCCCTCGCCCTCCCAGAGGCCGAACATTGGGAAAAACCTGCCGTACATCCTGGTGGTTCACTACTCGAGGGGTCTGGGGGGCGAGGGGGGGGTGCGAGGGCCCCTCGCCGGGCTTATAAGAGAACGACCAAGATCAGGGCCAGAGATCCGACGTCGTGATTCTTTCCATACGCGGTCCCCGGAAGTCTCGATCCATTCCCCAGGACGGGTTTTTCATCCTGAGTCGTTTTGTTGACGGTCCCGAGGCCTGGCGAGGGCCCCTAGAGGCTGAGATTTGCGAAAAACTCCCGTCTTGATTTTTTGCGTTGGATCTCTGGGGGGGCGACTGTGTCGTGACTTTCCTCCTCCCAGCCTCGGAGAACCAGAAGAGCGGCGAGGGCGACGCATAGCGCCCCGGCGCGGGAGTCAACACGCCTCGGCGACTCCAAAGGCACGCGTGGTTTGCAAAGGACGGGGTTTGCAACCGGCACCCTGGGGAACGTCCTGGGGGGCCCCCGGGGGGGAGCGCGGGGACCTCGATGGAGTTCTCCCGCCCGAGGGCCCGGCGACGACAGTGTCGAGCCTTTCTGGCCCCAACGGTGCTGATCGCAAACCACACCCAGGCGCAACCATACCTTTTGGACGCCCGAAATGGGCACGGAAAGAATGGGTACAATGCCCAACAACAACTGTTGTCCCAAACCAACAGCGGCCGCTGTTGGGCGGGCGGCCTTCTGTCTCGAATGGACGCAGGCCGCGGCGGCGCGGACAGCGAGCCCTGTTCAGAAGGAACAGGAACTGCTGTTGGGCATTGTACCCATTCTTTCCGTACCCATTTCGCTCGTGCAGAATACCCTTTGTAGTCGCCGAACGCCTGGCGGCACCCCGGCACTCGGCGGGTACATGGCCCACCGCTTGCGGCCCTCGAGGCAGGCGCTCCGCTCGGCGTGCCCAAGAGGTGGGGCCGCCCCGAGGGACGCAGACCCCCTCGGGCAGCGACGAAGATCATGACGTGAACCTGTCTTTTTAAATCCTCGGCCTCCGCAGACTTTCCCAGATCCCATCGAGTCATCAAGCAATCACGGCCGAAGGTTTTTCACTATCTTCGGCCACCTGGGGCCCCTCGGAGCCGTCAGAAAACGACTCGGGATGGAAAACCGGTCCCGGGGAAGGGGTCGAGATCCCTCCGAGGACGACGTTATGAGAAAATCCGGACGTCGGGGGTCTGGGGATGGATGGGGCCCTAAGGATGAGAACCTCAAAGAGTGAACCCTCAGATGCTGGCGTGCAGAGATTTGAAAAGTTATCCTCCTGCGGCCCTCACAGATCGATCAGGTTCCAGCACGTGCAGAGGAAAGATGGGGTTCAGGGCTCAGCCCGTGACCCCTCGCGAGGCTGGGTTTTCGTTCGCAGCGTCGCATCTCAGGGGGTCGGCCCCGCGGGCAAGAACCGCCGACAGTGAAGGTTCAGCTTGCGTCAGGTGGTAACTTTTGGGAGGACGGTGCAACAACGATGAAAGGCCATGAATCGGGGATGGACAGACCCCCCTTTAGTAAAACGTGGTTTAGGGAAAACGACCTGAGGCCCAAACCTGGCGGGCGCAAGCCCAAAAAAATAACAGCCACGGCGCACTCTCGAGAACCGAAAACGGACAATTCACCAATCGACGTATCACTGTTGGGGTTTCTGTCACCGCTGCAGCGATTCTGTCACTACAGTAATCGACGTGCCACTAATCGACGGACAATTCACTAATCCACGCCCTCTCGCGAACCGAAAACGGCCAATTCCTTAATCGACGTGTCAGGGTAGGAGGTCTGTCCACCCCCGAATTAAGACTGAATGAGGAGCCATCATGCCGGAGTCGGCTGGATGGCTTCTCTCTCAGCCTTCTTTACATTCGCGGGAGATTCGGGTCGCTTGGGCTTGCTTCGGCTTCTGACTCGACCTGCTTGGGCGAAAAATTCAGCTCGCGGGATGGATCAGAGTTCGGCCAGATGGCGGATGGTTCCCGTTTTCGACCGAGGAAATTTCCACGGGCGAAGAACGGTACACAATCATTTGTGTCGCTGCCGGGGGCGCCAGCTCCAGGGCGGCTGGCATGCTTACACCCTTACGGCGGTATACCGTAGGGGTCCAAACTGTCCAGCCGCCCAGGGGCAGGCGTCCCCGACGGCGGAAGCACATATTTAACAGGGCAGTTTTTAAGACATCGGTTTTTACCTAACAGCTTTTGCTGATAGGTTTCTAGTGGTCTCAAAAGAGAGCAGCAGATGACTCCACAGGGGGGTCGGGGCGGGACCCGGGGCGGTGCCGCCGAAGCCCAAATCGCTTGGGACATCCTCGCAAAATCGCTCTTGGCGCTGCTAGAACTCCATTCCCGGCACATTTTGGATGCCCGGAGCCAACTGTAGGCCACTTCGTGCTCTTCGACTTCCCAGAACTCCATTCCCGGGCCACATTTTGGATGCCCGGAGCCAACTGTAGGCCACTTCGTGCTCTTCGAGTTCCCAGAACTCCATTCCCGGGCCACATTTTGGATGCCCGGAGCCAACTGTAGGCCACTTCGTGTCTTCGAGTTCCCAGAACTCCATTCCTGGGCATGATTTTGAATGCCCGGAGCCAACTGTAGGCCACTTCGTGTTCTTCTAGTTCCCAGAACTCCATTCCTGGGCCACATTTTGAATGCTGAGGCAGGCTGATGCTGCGGCCGAGGCAGGCTGAGGCTGAGGCAGGCTGAGGCTGAGGCCGAGGCTGAAGGCAGACTGAGGCTGAGGCTGAAGCAGGCTGAGGCTGAGGCTGAGGCAGGCTGAGGCTGAGGCTGAGGCAGGCTGATGCTGAGGCAGGCTGAGGCTGAGGCTGAGGCTGATGCAGGCTGAGGCTGAGGCAGGCTGAGGCTGAGGCCGAGGCTGAAGGCAGACTGAGGCTGAGGCTGAAGCAGGCTGAGGCTGAGGCTGAGGCAGGCTGAGGCTGAGGCAGGCTGAGGCTGAGGCTGAGGCAGGCTGAGGCTGAGGCTGTGACTGCGACTGCCGTTGCCGCTGCGACTGTCATCGCGAATGCGACTACGACTGCGAGAACAGCAGAATTCTACAACTGGATTTTCATCTGAATCTTAAGGGGAATGCTTTCAAATATGCTTCTACACATCGCTGTTAGGTTGCTTTGCCGGGATAATTCTGTAAATCTAGGATTTCAAATCCATGAATAAATGTATGCATGAACTCATCATTGCTTGTAAAGCTAAATCCATGCATGTTTTAATCCATGATCCGCACGCGGAACATGCATTAAAAACGGCACAGTGTACTGTTCTTCGCCCGCTGACGATTGTGCACCGACGATCTGGATCTCATAGACATGTCGACCACCAGAGCCCCTCCTGAGCCCAAACCGGTACTCCTTCCAGCGCTTCGTGGACTGCACGGAGGGAGGGCCTCGACCAGTGAGGGCTCAGCCGGTGATCCGCCTCGCGTCCTCGATGCCCCACCCCTCAGGGCCCAGACGTGGAGACACGGAATGTCCTGACGTCCTGGCTTGAAGGGGCCCTGAGACACACAAATCAACACACACACACAAATAAAACGATTCCCCATATGTTTCTACATTTTTGGCGTTTTTGTCTTCCCCCCCACTTCCCATATTTTCCAATGTTTTCTGGGGAATCGACGATTCATTGAGTCTGTGTGTTTTTTCCCCTCCTGATGACTGTTGGTCGATGCGGGCTCCTCAAACCCCGACCATTTCCCAGGGACTGGTGTTCCGTCCAGGGTCGTTTCTGTGGCCGCTCCCAGGGCCCGGCGAGGGCCCGCCACGGAGGCCCCAGACGGCCAGACACCTCCAGTCTTGATTGTCCCGACGCGAGCATGTCTGGGGTGAGCTGCTTGGGGCCCCAAAACAAACAGGCAATAAAAATCACAGGAAAAAAACACACACACTGAGGGAAAACACACACACACACAAAACACACACACACACACTCACACACCGAGGGAAAAAAACACACAGAGGGAAAGAAACACACACAAGTGTTTTTTCCCTCAGACCAGGAGGGGGAATGGAGCCAAATCCACTCACAATCGGTCCCAGAGCCCAACCTGGGTCCAGCTGCTGCAGTGTTTCGCCGCTGATCCTTTTCTGACGGTCCCAGGACCCGAAAGCGGCACCCTGAGGTGGAAAGAGGCAAACGAGCTTCTCGAACCGAGATATACTCGAATCCGCTTCCTGCTCGTCACAAGCAATGCTGGCTCACCTCAGACCCCCAGCTAGCCCCAAGTCTGGGGGGGCTCCACCATCGCGCGCGGGGCGCGCCAGGGGCGCTTCGGGAGGCGCCGCCGGGGGGGGGTCCAGCGCCAATCCAAAAGTTCACGGCTACGCCGTTCCTCCATCTTCGACTTCTCGCGACGCGAGCACGTCCGGGGGGCCCTACCTTTGAGCCGCCGGTCCAGGCGCCGCTGCCCAGTGCGTCCTCGGGGATCTTCTGACCCGGGTCAATCCAGACCCGGGTCAGCAGGAAACCAACAACTGCAATGCAGGACAAAGAAACTGCAACGCAGGTCTTCGCAAACCATGGTCAGCCAATATGTGCGGCCGCCTCGCGGTCACGAGCGGCTCGCTAACCCGGGTCAGCCAGAGGGGGTCTTCGCAGGATCCTGCAGGATCCGGTGCCGTGGCTGACCCCCGTTTGCATTGACCCCTGTCTCAAGGCACCCGACGTCCTCAGCGCGGGGGGAAACAGATCCTGATTACCAGTCTGGAACATATCCCTATCCCTATGCTGGGCACCTCCTCATCACGATGCCAATCTTAGGGATTCCCTTATTTTTGGGGGGCGGATCCCTAAGATTGGCATCGCCTCTTGGCGTGTCAATCTCAGGGATAGGGATACGCTCGTGGCTGGTAACCTGAGGGCAGCGGGTCCTGGGCCCTGGGCCCCGCAGTGGGGCCCTCCCCCTCCCTCCCTCCCCCCTCCCCCCCCCCCCCTCCCTCCCTCCTCCTCCTCCTCCTCCTCCTCCTCCTCCTCCTCCTCCTCCTCCTCCTCCTCCTCATCCTTCTCCTCGTCCTCCTCCTCCTCCTCCTCCAACTCTCGATCCCGAGCCGGCTCCCAACAGCCCCGTGTGGGCGCACGGAGAGCCCCGATAGGGCCCGAACAAAAACGGGGGCCAAAACATCAGGGCCCGTTGCCCGCAGGAGCCTCTCCCAGACGTGCGACGTGCTGATTTGTTCAATGCGCGGTCCCTGGCAGTCCCGACCCGTTCCTCAGGGTCGGCTTCTCGTCCTTTGACAGCCCCAGGGCTTGGTAAGGGCCCCCAGAAGCTAAAAATAACGCAAACCCGTCCGCCGTGATGTTTTTCCGAAGCCAGCCCCTGAGATCCGACGGTTCGAAAAATTAAGACATTACAAAAAAACACGACGGGAGCCCAAGACCCCATCATCTGCCCGATTTTTCGAGCTGCATCGATTTGTGAGGTTCCCGGTGCCAAAACCTTGGCCAAAACGCCCAGCTCGAAAATATTGAGACGACAGGGTCCCAGGGGGCCCGTCCCCTGGGGCAATATTTTCGCCCTGGATCGCTTTTTGACGCTCCCGAGGCCTGGTAAGGGCCCCCAGGGGACGAACATGACGAAAAGACTTGCGCTAGTGCTCCACGACGCCAGCATGACTGTGGGGAAACCAAGAGGTACCGATACCTCTACTCCCCAAACCTCACCTGGGGTTTGTTCTAACGAGGATCTCGAGGCGAATCCAGCGGTGGCGACGAGGGTTGCCCAGGAGGCCCCAAATGGGGAAAACGAGGGAAGGGTAGAGGTATGGGTACCTTTTCCTCCTCGGAATTTTCCTCTGGGCCCGTTTGCGGCAATTTTTTTAAAAAAGGGTAACGGTCGTCACCCCGGGGGGAACAGTGGGGGGCTTCGGGCGAAAGGGTAACGGTAACGGCGGCCGCGGCGTACACCCGCCAGGGTGCGTCCGCGCCACCGGCGCATCAATCGCCGGTGCACCACAACGCGTGGGGGGTCCAGGCCGCTCTCCCCCCGTAGGATCGTTGGCGCTCCCCGGGGGGAGGGGGGAAGGGGGGAGGCTCGGCCCGGGCAGCGAGCGCTACCCCTGGGGAGGAACAAAGAAACGCGCATTTTGAAGGGGCCCCAGGACACACAAATAAATACACACAAATAAAAAGATTCCCCATATTTTCCAATATTTTCTAGGTTTCTGTTTTCCCCCCCCGCTTCCCATACTTTCCAATGTTTTCTGGGGAATCGACGATTAATTCCCCACATGCTTCGTGGGGTTCTGGTTTTCTTCCCTGCCGCGCCGCACCCGCGTCTCCTCACACCTCCCCTTCTCTCTCTTTCTTCCTCCCCTCACTCACACACACACACACTTCACTCTTCCCCCCTCGTCACAGCACTGCTCAGCTCAGCTCAACTCACCTCAGCACAGCACAGCACAGCTCAGCTCAGCTCAGCACAGCTCGGCTCAGGTCAGCACAGCTCAGCACAGCACAGCACAGCTCAGCACAGCACAGCTCGTGGCACTTTCTCGACACCACAGGGGGTGCGCAGGGGGTGGTCTCTCAGCTCGGCCGCTATCCACGACACTGGCGCAAAGCCTAGCAGGCTCAATCACTCTCTCGACACCAAAGGGGGTGGGCAGGGGGTGGTCTCTCAGCTCGGCCGCTATCCACGACACTGGCGCAAAGCCTAGCAGGCGTGGCACTTTCTCGACACCACAGGGGGTGCGCAGGGGGTGGTCTCTCAGCGGCCCTATCCACGACACTGGCGCAAAGCCTAGCAGGCGTGGCACTCTCGACACCAAAGGGGGTGGGCAGGGGGTGGTCTCTCAGCTCGGCCGCTATCCACGACACTGGCGCAAAGCCTAGCAGGCGTGGCACTTTCTCGACACCACAGGGGGTGCGCAGGGGGTGGTCTCTCAGCTCGGCCGCTATCCACGACACTGGCGCAAAGCCTAGCAGGCGTGGCACTTTCTCGACACCACAGGGGGTGCGCAGGGGGTGGTCTCTCAGCTCGGCCGCTATCCACGACACTGGCGCAAAGCCTAGCAGCGTGGCACTTTCTCGACACCACAGGGGGTGGGCAGGGGGTGGTCTCTCAGCTCGGCCGCTATCCACGACACTGGCGCAAAGCCTAGCAGGCGTGGCACTTTCTCGACACCACAGGGGGTGCGCAGGGGGTGGTCTCTCAGCTCGGCCGCTATCCACGACACTGGCGCAAAGCCTAGCAAGCGTGGCACTTTCTCGACACCACAGGGGGTGCGCAGGGGGTGGTCTCTCAGCTCGGTCGCTATCCACGACACTGCGCAAAGCCTAGCAGGCGTGGCACTTTCTCGACACCACAGGGGGTGCGCAGGGGGTGGTCTCTCAGCTCGGCCGCTATCCACGACACTGGCGCAAAGCCTAGCAGGCGTGGCACTTTCTCGACACCACAGGGGGTGCGCAGGGGGTGGTCTCTCAGCTCGGCCGCTATCCACGACACTGGCGCAAAGCCTAGCAGGCGTGGCACTTTCTCGACACCACAGGGGGTGCGCAGGGGGTGGTCTCTCAGCTCGGCCGCTATCCACGACACTGGCGCAAAGCCTAGCAGGCGTGGCACTTTCTCGACACCAAAGGGGGTGGGCAGGGGGTGGTCTCTCAGCTCGGCCGCTATCCACGACACTGGCGCAAAGCCTAGCAGGCGTGGCACTTTCTCGACACCACAGGGGGTGCGCAGGGGGTGGTCTCTCAGCTCGGCCGCTATCCACGACACTGGCGCAAAGCTAGCAGGCGTGGCACTTTCTCGACACCAAGGGGGTGGGCAGGGGGTGGTCTCTCAGCTCGGCCGCTATCCACGACACTGGCGCAAAGCCTAGCAGGCGTGGCGCTTTCTCGACACCACAGGGGGTGCGCAGGGGGTGGTCTCTCAGCTCGGCCGCTATCCACGACACTGGCGCAAAGCCTAGCAGGCGTGGCACTTTCTCGACACCACAGGGGGTGCGCAGGGGGTGGTCTCTCAGCTCGGCCGCTATCCACGACACTGGCGCAAAGCCTAGCAGGCGTGGCACTTTCTCGACACCACAGGGGGTGCGCAGGGGGTGGTCTCTCAGCTCGGCCGCTATCCACGACACTGGCGCAAAGCCTAGCAGGCGTGGCACTTTCTCGACGCCACACCACCATGCGGACATAAGATTTAAATTAAGTATGTGGGGTTCCTCGGTAGCGTAATTGTGTCTGTGTGTTTTTTGTCCCTCCTGACGTTAGCGCTACCCGGGGGGAGGGGGGGAGGGGGGGGAGGCTTGGCCCGGACAGGGAGCGCTACCCCTGGGGAGGAACAAAGAAAAACGCCCATTTTTGGCGGCGCGCACAAGGGGGTAGGGGGAGGGGGGAAGGCTTCTTAGAAGGAGGCTGCTTCTTGGAAGGCGCCGGCCTGACATCTACAAAGAAGGCCCGCGCCTT